CTAATTAATCCAATAAATACTTATGGAATTTTTCTTGAAATACTAGTCATTTTTTTCCCTCCAAGATCATAGGCATGGAGCATAAATCCACACAAGATCTAGTAGGATAGGTATTTACTGCTATAGTAATACAGCATCTATGCTTTATTAACAGGATCATAATTTTCTCTGAGAGCTCTTTGCTCTTAGAGGTAGACTTCCCAATTGTGACTGGTTAGACCTCATTTGGTCAGCTTCTTCTCTCTCTCTTCCCAACTCACTGATAAAAGTCTCAGGAGATAGGTGGTGGTGGCTCACACCTTTAAACCCAGCACTCAAGAGGCAGAGGCAGAGGCAGAGGCAGAGGCAGAGGCAGAGGCAGAGGCAGAGGCAGAGGCAGAGGCAGAGGGATGGTGGATCTCTGTGAGTTTGAGGCCAGCCTGGTCTACAAGAGCTAGTTCCAGGACAGGCTCCAAAGCTACAGAGAAATCTTGTCTCGAAAAAGCCAAAAAAAAAAAAAAAAAAAAAAAAAAAAAAAAAAAAAGAAAAGAAAAGTCTCAGGAGGGGATAGAGGGAGTATAGAAACAGAGCAAAATAATGATACTAAAATATGCTTGCTGAATCTTTCTTTTGCACTAGATGCTCAGAGGTCTTTACAGAACTGTTTAATCCCGACCCCCAGGAGGTGATGTATTATATATATATCAGGAAGCTACATGTAAGGGGTCAATGTCACTGTCCAGAATCACACAGTTAGAAAGCGGTGGAGCCAGAATCCAAACCAGATGTCTCTGGCATGGGTTTCCTTGTTAGATAACAGAAACAGGGAAATAGACGACACCAAGGAAACGACCAAGGCCATGATGGGTTGCCCAGGAAAAAGTCAGTTCATGGAAACTCTCTTCAGATGATGGCTACCTCCTGATTAGAGCATTGTAGGGCAGACACAGAGAAGCAGAACCACATAGACTGCAAGTTGACTTGTCTTCTGCAGGTTGATGGCCAACATTTTATCCTGGAAGAATGTCTAAAGTACCTGTAATGGAACAATGGTCTCTGTCATCAGCAGTCTCAATACTGCACCCTCACAACATGTCACCATGAACAGTAAACTTCCTGATAATCTCTGGAAGTTGCTCTGGTCACAAAATGTGCTTTCAGAAGGCCACGTGAACTATTGCCTAGATTCAGAACAGGGTTGGAAGACATGAAATAAAAATAAAGTATTGGTGTGGAATGATTGATGATCCTATCTGCTGGGAATATTTTTTAGGACTAGCCTCTCCGCTGACACAAATGATTCCAATCAGACGAAATTAGACCGAATAAAAGATGCCCATGTTTACTGCAGCGCTCCAAGATGGCACCAGGAAAGCATGGTGAGGAAGAGAGAGGGGTAGACCACACGAAACCCAGAGACCACATGTACATTCTCTGGGGGGCAGCCTAAGTAGCCTGTGGGATTGGTCCTGACCCTCTTTGGGGAGAAGTCACCACTTGGCTGGCTTTCCCAGAGGTGGAGTCTGGACCAAGGCAACTCCCAGGGGAGAGGGCTTGAAATGGAGCTTCCTGCTCCATTCCAAAGATGGGTGCTGGGGGCTGGGATGAGGCCCCCAAATATAATATTGTCCTTTATGAAGAGAGTTAGGTAGCCAGGGGAAAAATGTCTTTCAACTAGTCTTAACAGTGGGAATGGGGATGTCTCTGACTCTTGCCTGCTCTTGGGACCCTTTCCTACTGGATTGCCTCTTTTAGCCTTGATATGAGGGTGTGTGTCTAGTCTTACTGCATCTTGTTATGCTGTGTTTAGCTGACATCCTGGGAGACCTGCTCTTTCCTGAAGGGAAATGAAGGAGTGGATCTGGGAGAAAGGGGCTGTGTGGGGGGAGTAATTGGGAGAGGAGATGGGAGGGAAAACTACAGTTGGGATGTGTTATATGGAAGAATTAATAAAAATGAATACATAAATAAAAATTAAAAATAAAAACCTGTGCCAAATTAAAAACAATCATGTGTCATTAGCACATGTAAGTCAAAACTATTATTTGAATGTAGAGTTCCTTGTAGGGTTTCATATGCATGCTTTCTGCATAGCCACAACTAGCAGACATACACGTGAAGCCTGATATTCACATTATTATTATTATTATTATTATTATTTTGTTTTTTGAGATAAGTTTTCTCTGTAGCTTTGGAGCCTGTCCTGGAACTAGCTCTTGTAGACCAGGCTGGTCTCAAACTCACAGAGATCCGCCTGCCTCTGCCTCCTGAGTGCTGGAATTAAAGGTGTGCACCACCACCACCTGGTGTAATCTACTGCTAATAGTTAATCCTTAGGCTGTTGAAATAGCTCTGACAGCCTGCTCTCATTCTCCTGGGCTTACAACTTTACATTTCTTTATCTCTATGCTCCTATTTCTGGAACATGTCTATAGTCTTATTCTTGGACTCTTCAGTATAATTTTCCTGAATTATGAGATAAAGTGGAACAGAATGGGAATATTAACTGTAAGAAGCAGTTCTAATTTTCCTCTGGCTTTCAGGTGTGCGCTCCAAATGGCAACCCCGGCTCTCAACTCGGTACCATTTCCTTTCAAACCACTGTGTCAGAGGGCAAAGTATGGAGCAGAAGCTGGACTTGGTTCCCGGAAGTCCACGAAAGGTGGCTTCTGGTTTTAGAAACACTAACTTTTTCTGATAGAATGAGCACGCATTTCTAGGATATCTTTGAAGAAATCCAGAAAAGTGTGTGATAAATGCCTTTTCACTCTCTGACTCAGATCACAGCCTCTGTGTGAAGGTTGCTCACTAACTCCCCCATCCCTAACTCCTTGGAAAGGAGATTTGGGCAGGAGCCTTCCTCACTGGCTGGCCATTCTTATGTCTTTCCATTTCTTCCTGTTCAGGGCTGTGATTGTTGTCTGTTGTTCCCCCTCCAGGAACTGACGTCTCCCTCTGAATGTCTACAATTGTTCCCATTATCTTCAGTTTGTCCCACTTTTACAAACATTTCTAGGGAAATGATGGTTTCTCTTGCCTGGGGCACAGTTAGCTGTGATTCCTGGACCTTATATTGCTTTTTTATTGCTTGCCAGGAATGGTAGAGATACAATCGTGTAACAGGCAGGTGGAAGTGTCTGAAAGTGCAGAGCCTCTGTGGTCCCAAGAGTCTGGGCTACCATCTCACTCCATCATTAATACTTAGTCCATAGCTCAGGGCCAGAGACATTTTATACAGACACCACTATTTGGAAGATGCCCCCAGGTCTAACTCTTCTGTGTCCTATTCCTGTGTGGTTCAGGTTGTCCCCCATGCTTGCTCACATTCTCCAGGAGATTTGCTCAGTGGGACGGAATTCCCATTCTTGTCATCTGTTCTTCCAGTACTTCTGGCAGCAGGTGCTGTGTTTCTGAGCATGCGCCCCTCTCCATCCAGGAGTTTCTGCTCATCTTAATTCCCACATCCGCTACACAACTTTATTCACGTCATGCTTCCTTTTTTTCTTCTCTCTCTCTCTCTCTCTCTCTCTCTCTGAGACATTTTTTTTTGGTATAGCCTTGGCTACCCTGGAACTATGTAGACAGGCTAGCTGCAAACTCAGAGATCCACCTGCCTCTGCTTCCCGAGTACTGGGATCAAATGTGTGTGCCACCACAGCCTGGCTCCATTCACGCTGTGTTATACACTGGTTACCCAGAATAGAAGAGATGAGATTAACTGACAAGAATTTCTTTGACATGAAGATTTACAGGTAATAACAAATTGGAAGGCTTTCAGTTTTTAAGTCTTAGGTGGTGTGGTTAAGAGGGAAACCTCAGGATATGTAAGAAATCAGTTTTATAGATTTTCCAATCTATAAATCCAATCTAAGGATTAGCACAGGCATGAAGTCGGTCAACTATTACCCATATCATGAGTGTAGTGTTTGATGCCAGCAAGTTACAGGAATCTCTTAGAACTAGTGCCTGGGCCTTACCTGCTCAGGGCAGACTTCATAGCTGACTGAGGACTCAAAAATATCCTCCATGACTTGGACCACCCTTTTCTAATTGTCTGTGGCCCACCCTGGGGCTGTGAATAAGCTACTTTCACAAGAACAATGTTATTATGAAATTAGACTTGGATCAACGCAATGTCTTTTTTTCTTTTTTCTTTTTTGGTTTTTCGAGACAGGGTTTCTCTGTGGCTTTGGAGCCTGTCCTGGAACTAGCTCTGTAGACCAGGCTGGTCTCGAACTCACAGAGATCCTCCTGCCTCTGCCTCCCGAGTGCTGGGATTAAAGGCGTGCGTCACCACCGCCCAGCAACGCAATGTCTTAATTAATGCCAACACAGCATCTAGTTTCTTATGGGAGAGGTGATTGGGGTTGGGGAGCTTGGCAATGGCTCATAGGACAAACTTCAAATTATCTGCCCTCCTCCATAAGAAGTTGTAGGATCCAAGTTGTATTAGATTTTCATGTTCTCTGTCGCTATGCTGCATCCCTTTTTCTGAGGCCCTCAGCTGTGAGCCACAATGTCAAGGGGTTCTTCCTGGATTTCCTCCATGGCTAGGTGGCCAGAAAAATGCCAACTTTGATCCTAGGATGTGATAACTCCCTTTCCACGGTCTGTGTGTGTAGGGGTAAGAACGGAGGTGGCTATGAACCCCGATTGTTTTCCAGTTGTCTCTCTTGTGGTGTCTCTGAAACCTCTTTCTTCTTAAGTAGGTCAGGGACATGCTGCTTCCTAGAACTGACCCTGGAAGAAAGGAAAGGTTCCCAAAGCTGAGTGAGAAGCAAGACCGCGTGTGGAACGGTCTGGGCAGAGAACAATGCTCGGTATTGACTAGATAGAGGAAGAGGGGGAGGAAAGCGAGGGCGACACGGTGCAAGGAAGCTGGCAGGCTCGGCATTTCCACTCTGGCATACGCACGTCCTCTTCACCATCTTCCAGGTGCCAGGGATCGAGAGGTTGTCGTCATAAATAAAAGCAGGTGCAGCTGAGTCGCGTCTGCCTTTCAGGATCCGGGAGCAGCCAAAATGATGCGATTTGTTCCTTTGTTCCTAGTGTGCATCTTGTTCCCTGCCATTCAGGCCACGCATCTTACAAAATGTGAGGTGTACCGGGCTGTGGAAGACATGGACGGCTACGAAGGCATCTCTGCTCTTGAATGTGAGCTCATTACTCTCCCTTTGGCTTCATCCGGGTCCTCGCCTCTCTCTCCTCAGCGCCATCCTCTTCCCGTCTCCTCTGCTTTCACTCAGTCATCTCCTTGTTGTCTTCTCGCTCTTCTCCCTCTGTTCTGGTTCTCTTTTATTCAGGATGTTTTCCTGTCGTTCCTTTCTCCCTTTGTCTGATGGTTCTCACTTCATCAAGATGCTTTGTACTTCACTCCTCTCGGAGATTGACTGCGAAGCCTTTGTTTTCTTCCGGGAATCTAGTCTCTCAATTACGCTGTTACTGCAAATCTTTGTGAACCATCTTTCTTCTCTCTCCCTCAGGGACCTGCGTTATATTTCACAGCAGCGGTTATGACACACAAGCAAAGGTCAACAACAAGGGCGGCACAGAGTACGGACTCTTTCAGATCAGCAACAAACATTGGTGCAAGAGTAGCGAGGTCCCCGAGTCTGAGAACATCTGTGACATTCCCTGTGACAGTGAGTAACCTCCTTCACCTACCCTGCTCTTCTGTTGTCCTTAGAGGTCATCTACTGTTTGGTACCTAGCACATCTCAGAAGTCACTGCTCTAAGAACTGTGTGACTTGAAGTGATGATGCTTAGTAAGAAACTGGTCCCTGGTCATGATCTCACATGCCCAGAGTCTCCCACCCCATCAGAAAGTTCAGGGAGTGTTAATCAGTTGGTGAGTCTTGAAGTCTGCATTTCCAGGGTCTGATGAAGCTGATGACTTCAGAGGCATCCTGGAGAATGGAAGGTAACCCCTACCTAGCGGAGGCATTACAAAATTGGCCTTTTCATATTGAAAGTCACTAGGCCAAACCTTCAGCTCAGAACAGGACCCCTGAACCCAAGGATTAGAGGAACTCCTCCCCATTTTGAGCTGTGCTTCTTAGCTGTCTTGTTTCTTCTTGCACTTTGCTAGACTTACTGGATGATGACCTTACCGATGACAAAATGTGTGCTAAGAAGATTCTGGCCATCAAAGGAATTGACTACTGGTAAATCATGTCTTCTGTCTCCTGAGAGCAACGCACTCTCCTCTGCTTGTGTCCCCTGACCATTTAATCTTTGGTAGACTCTCCAAAACAAAGCCCATCCAAGGGTGCATTTTTTTTTTTTTTTAAAATGCTCCTCTGTGTCATTCCTGTGTGACAAGTTTCCTGGTTTGAAGTTCCCTATTGGAAGGCTGATGTCCAGGTCTCCCTTCCCCTGCCCGGTTCTTAGCCTTAAAGCAAGCCCTTGGTATCATTACACATCTCTGGATCTGCACTTTCCTGGATTTTATTTATTTATTTATTTATTATTATTATTGTTATTATTTTAATGAGCCCTATTCCTTTTAGAAGTCCTTTCCATGTATCTCAGAATGTCTATTTCTTGTCTGCATCTTTCACCTCACCCTGAGGAAGAAGCTAAATTTAACTTTATGCTCAGACCCTGCCAGTAAGAGGGGAGAAAGTGTGTGTGTGTGTGTGTGTGTGTGTGTGCATGTGTGCGCACAAGTGTTTGGTAATTGAGCAAAGTACAATGATATACATGTATGAAAATATCATAATGGAATCAGTGTTATAATGGAACTCATTATTGGACGTAGAAAGTTAAAAAGGAAGTCCCAGTTATCCAACCCATTTTGTTTGTTTTCCCCTGAACAGGTTGGCTCACAAGCCTATGTGCTCTGAGAAGCTGGAACAGTGGAGCTGCAAGAAGCTGTGAGCTCCTTATGTCTTTGTTGCTCCTGTCACGTGTTCTGGAACACCTCTTCCCTAAGGCTGCCTCAGTTCGGCTCTTTCTATTACCTTGAGAATGACCTGTCTCTGAGCCCTGCACCCTGCGGTGACACCACTGGACTCTTAAGGACTTTTGTCAAAGGGTGTGTGACTGGAGCAATGGACTGCAGACCCTTGTTCAGTGATGGTGAGGAGCTTGGGCATTTTCACCAAAGCAAGAGAGTCCTCTTCTGTTCTAAATAAAGGGCCTGGCCTGATGTGCCTGTCACCAGTATAACGATTAAAATAAAGGAAAGGTGAAGTGTGCACTTTTTGGCCCCTGCCTAGGTATGTCGCTAAACAAACACACCACGTGCAACAGAGTTAGTGCAGGAGGTCTATTGGTGGGGGCATGGAGGGAGTGAAAGGGCGTGTCAAAGTGGGGATGTGAGAGAGACAGGCAGACAGACAGACAGACAGAGAACAGGGAAGAGATAAGCAGAAAAAGAGAAGCAAGAGACTGAAGAGAGGAGCACGAGGCAAGAGAGCCAGCTGGGTCTGGAGGGCACATTCATTTTATTTTTACCTTATTTATTTAATTATTTATTTATGTTTTCCAAGATAGGGTTTCTCTGTAGCTTTGCAGACTATCCTGAAATTAGCTCTGTAGACCAGGCTGGCCTTGAACTCACAGAGATCCGCCTGCCCCTGCCCCCCAAGTGAGGGGATTACAGGTGTGTGCTGCCACCCGCCCTGCTCTGGTGGGCACTTTTAAAGGCTGCTCAGGTTGCACAGCTTAAAGTGGAAGGCATCTGGCGACAGGTGATGATTTAACTGTCAGAGGGCAGAGGCAGGCTGCAGCAGGAAGCTAAGGCTCTCCCCTTTTGTTTATTATAAAAAGATGAGGAAATAGATAGGGGTAGCTGGTGAGGTGGGAATGGGTGGAGCACCATGTTTTCTAGACTGCTTCCTGTTGTCTGGGGTCTTGGCATCCATTGGGACCTGGGAGAGTTCTGGGATAGCTGGCTGTTTCACTCACTGTCCAGGCTGTGGGACCGTTTGGTGCTAGGAAATTGCAGGTCTAGTTGAAGCAACCTGTGAGACTGGACCACTTGGGGGTCGCCACTCTGAAGATGCCCAGGATGCAGGTTTTGAGGGGAATCTTTCAGGATGTTGGCAGAAAATAAAGTTAAGAAGTTTTAGGAGGAATTTTTTTTCTTAGGTTCTGGTAGTTGAGGGGGGTGGGGTCCCAAGACCAGGGAAAGGTGGGGGAGATCCCACTCTCAGGAACAGGCAGTAGGTAGGGAAACTTAGGCTGTTGATAGACAGCTCTTCTCTGGAGTCCATTTGATGACCTCCTCGAAGCTGGAGCTTACCAGAATTTTCTGAGTTTACACAAAGAATCGTTTTAGACACATTAGCATCCCCATTGTTTGTAATCCGTACTAAAATCCACATTGTAGAAAAGGAAGTAGACTCCTGCTTCTGAATCACAGGGGACCCAAAAATGATCCTGGTTAAAAGCCATAAACACACGTTATTGTTTGTCATAGCCAGAACCTGGAGACAATCTAAATGGTCCTCGACCGAAGTATCGAAAAAGAAAATGTGGTACATTTACACAATGGAGTACTACACAGCAGAAAAAAAATAACGACCTCTTGAATTTTGCAGGAAAATGGATGGAGCTAAAAAACATCATTTTGAGTGAGGTAACCCAGACACAGAAAGAAAATTATCACATGTACTCACTCATAGGTGGTGTTTAAACATAAAGCAAAGAAAGCCAGCCTACAAATCACAATGCCAGAGAACTTAGACAACAATATGGACAATAAGAGAGGCTTACATAGATCTAATCTACATGGGAAGTAGAAAAAGACAAGATCTCCTGAGTAGATTGGGAGCATTGGGACCTTGGGGGAGGGTTAAAGGGGAAGGGTAGAGGCATGGAGGGGAGCAGAGAAAAATGTAGAGCTCAATAAAAATCAATAAAAAAATCTAATGCAAGCAAGTATACACTGAAAGTCCTAATTTAAAGCCCCCCCCCCAAAATAAAGCATGAACACTCTTTCCTCTGTCTAGAAGACTGGGTATATATAGATTAAACTTGTTTTTAGCACAATGAAAAGCATGTTTTAGTCTATACTTAGAAAAAAACCAAAGGGGCCAGGCAGTGGTGGCGCATGCAACTTTAATCCCAGCACTCAGGAGGCAGAGGCAGGCAGATCTGCATGAATTCGAGGCCAACCTGGTCTACAGAGCTAGTTCCAGGACAGGCTCCAAGTTACACAGAGAAACCCTGTCTGGACCGCCCCCCCCCAAAAAAAAAAAGAATGGTGAGAGAAAGAAAGAGAGATTAGGAATATGCCCTGCATATTCTTTTATTTTTTTAATGGTTCATTTATATTTTATTTTATGTGCATTGGTGTATTTCTGCATATGTGTCTGTGTCAGAAGCCCTGGAACTGGCGTTACAGACAGTTGTGAGCTGCCATGTGGGTGTTGGGAATTGAACCCAGGTCCTCTGGAAGAGCAGCTAGTGTTCTTAACTGCTGAGACATCTCTCCAGCCCCTTCCTGCATAGTCTTAAGACTGATGCTGGGCTGTGTCACTGATGCTGGGCTGTGCCACAGATGCTGGGCTGTGCTGATCAGCGCCACAGTTCTGGTTGTGTCAGACACCTTTGCATTATTACTACGGAATGCTTGAGATGGTGCTCTTACCAAGAAACAAATTTATTATCTTCATAATCTTGGAGATTCAGAGTCTAAGATTTGAGGATCTTACTGGTGTTGCTTCTGGTGAGGATGGTTGGTGGCAGTGCACATTGCAGGACTGCGCATGGGATCACATGTTGGAATGGTGGGGGCAGTGCACACTGCAGGACTGCGCATGGGACCAGATGGTGATCCTTCAGCTGAGGAATGGGGCAGGGGAGACAGGAGAGATGGGACCCTATGACCTTGCTCTAGGGCAGCCTCTGTGACCTAAGGAATTCCCATGAAGCTCTACCTTTCATTTACTTGAATATCTTTATTGTTTTTTTGAGAATTTCATACAATATATTTTGATCATATTCCTTCTCTTTCCCCAATCCTCCCAAACTCTCCTCCACCTCCCTATCCATCTAACTTCATGTTCTTTCTCTCTCTCGTAACAAACAAAACTCAACACACACACACACACACACACACACACACACAAACATGGGGTCTGACTGGCCTTGGTCAACTACTTTTGAGAATGAGGCCTATCCTTTTGATATACCCAGTGACACTCAATTGAATAAAACTGTTTTTCCGTCTATCAGAAGCTATCAATTGCAAATAGCTTCTCGGTTATAGGTGGGACCATGTGCCCACTACTCTGCTCTCTGACAGGTAGCTTCTTGGTTACGGGTGGGACCACTTCCCTGTGTTACAGGACTTGGTCTGTGAGTCTCCCTTTAAAAGTCCATAGCACCTTCCAATACTGTTACTCTGGAAGCAGGGGAGAGTAAATATTTATACATGGATCTTTGGAGGAAATTTTAGTAATTTTTCTTTTCTGTGATAAGACACCATGAATAAGGCGACTTAGAGAAGACAGCATTTAATTTGGGGTTCATGGTTATAGAAGGTTAGAGGCCCTGAACATCTTGGTGGGGGCATGGCAGGAGGCAGGCAGACATGGTGCTGGAGTAGTAGCTGAGATCTCACATCCTGAGAGACATGCAGGAGGCAGAGAGAGGCAGAGAGAGAACTAATTGGAAATGATATAGGCTTTTGAAACTTCAAAGCCTACTTCCAGTGACATACTTCCTCCAACAAGACCACACCTCTTAATCCTAACCAAGCAGTTCCACCAACTGGAAACCAAGTAATCAAACACATGAGCCTGAGGGACCCATTCTCTTTCAGACCACTACAGGGGATGTTCAACATTCAAACCACAGCGCTGGTCCTATGGACATCAGGACACCATAAATGAGGTCATGATCTTCATTAGGCTGTAATAACAAATTACAAATAGAGACCTTTTCAGCAGGATGGTAGGAGGAGCAAGATCAGGGTCTGAGAGTAGTCATTTATTGCTATGGAGGTTAGCATGCAAACACATGTATATCCCTACTATGCCCAGCGCTTTAGAGCAGTTCTTTTATTTATTTATTTATTTATTTATTTATTTATTTATTTATTTTTGGTTTTTCAAGACAGGGTTTCTCTGTGGTTTTGGAGCCTGTCCTGGAACTAGCT